TACAGGGGCTCCAACACCCTCACATAGACATACATGTAGGCAAGACACCAATGTACATAAAATAAATAGACAAAATTTAAAAATAAAAAGAGCTGTCAAGATTGTTCAGTGAATAAAGTCACTTGCCACAATGGAGTTTAATCAATACCCAAAATAGAATGAGGGAACCATCTCCCACAAATTGTCCTCTGATCTACACACACACACACACACACACACACACACACACACACACACACACACACAGTAACATGTATGCATGCATACACATGTACTTTCACACACTAAATATGTAAACTAAAAAATGATGTTCAAAGCAATGTGCTATCCTTAACATGCTATCAGTAATTTTGTATGTAGTCAATAAATGCTAAATTAAAAGTAAAATAACAAAATGTTAACAGTAGAAAGCTTTATGTTGGTAGGATTACAAATGAGTTTTTTTTTTTTTTTTTTGGTTTTTCAAGACATGGTTTCTCTGTGTAGCTTTGGAGCCTGTCCTGGAACTCACTCTGTAGACCCCACTGGCCTCGAACTCACAGAGATCTGCCTGTCTCTGCCTCCTGAGTGTGTGTACTAACTACCACCACCCAGCAAGTTTTATATTTCCCTGTATTTTGAAAACTTCTCTTTTTTTGTTTTTTCGAGACAGGGTTTCTCTGTGTAGCTTTGGAGCCTATCCTGGCACTCGCTCTGGAGACCAGGCTGGCTTTGAACTCACAGAGATCCACCTGCCTCTGCCTCCCGAGTGCTGGGATTAAAGGCGTGTGCCACCAACGCCCCTAGAACCATTTTTTAATGGAGGAAGCTAGTATTTTATTTGGTTTTGCTACTTTACTTTTTCCCAATTCTTTTCTTGTATTTTCCTATGGAACCCTAGAGATTAAAACTACATTTTAGCATTGTTGACATGAGGACTCTGGAACAGAGAGGGGAAATGAGTTCCCTAGTGGCCCAGGAGAAAAGTAGTGCCTGAGTCAGAATGGAAGTTGGCCCCTGAGGCTGATTTCATGAACCTGTAACTGCCTCAAAGAACAAAGGATTCCAAGTAAACACAGTTCCTGACACTTTGTCACTTTGGGGATGGAATCCAGGATCTCATCTGTGCTAGGCAGCACTCCACTACTGAGTCATACCCTTAGCCCTCTGATTGCTATCTTGATAAGTATGCCCCCAGGGCCTTGACAGGCAGCCTGACTTCTAATCCTGGTTTTAACAACAGACGGAATTTTCACCTTCCTCTAAGCCACAGGGAAGTCTTCAAGTACATAGACAGACCCATCTTCAGAACCTGACCCAAGCATGACTCCTCATCTGTGGTGTGTAATAAGTCTTTTTTTCATCTCCTTACTTCCATATTATAAATATTTATGGTTGAAAGGAAATGGGGAGCTTAGTGTGATGGTACTCATCTGTAATCCCCAAAAATTTGAGACTGAAGTATTTCAAGTTCAAGGCCAACCTGGGCAACATGGTGAATACTGGCTCAGCCAATATAAAATAAGACCCTGACTCAAAACAAAGTGTATAACATAGTTAGTAGGGAGCAAAACAAGCTGTATGGAGTAGTTACATAGGGAGCAGAATATGGGTTGGTCATTAATTTCCCCCTTTAAGGGGCAAAGATGAGGCTGGGCATGGCATGGCTGTGCATGCCTTTAATTCCAGCACTCGGGTGGCAGAGGCAGGCAGATCTCTGTGAGTTTGAGGCCAGCCTGGTCTACAGAGCTAGTTCTAAGACAGTAGCTAGGGCTGTTACACAGAGAAACCCTGTCTCAAAAAACTAAAAATAAATAAATGATCGAAGATGGTACTTTTGTTTTTTTTGAAACAGGTCACATGCTTCAAACAGTGAACTTGCTGCATAGATGAGGCTGGCTTTGAACTCCTGATCTTGCTGCCTCCATTTCCCAAGTCCTGGGATAAGAGGCATGTGGCACCATCTCTAGCTCAGGGCCATATTATTTTTTTGGGGGGGGGTCTCAGTCTATAGCCAAAGATGGTCTAGACTCAAAGTTGAAGCAAGTGTTCTGCCAGTCTTCAGAGTTCTAGAATTACAGGCACAAAATACGACTCCCAGCAAAGGCATCTTTTCTTTTCTTTCCTTTTTGTATTTTCTTCTCTCTCTCTCTCTCTCTCTCTCTGTCTGTCTGTCTGTCTGTCTGTCTCTGTCTCTGTCTCTGTTTGGTTTTTAGAGACAGGGTTTCTCTGTGTAGCCCTGGCTGTCCTGGAACTCACAGAGATCTGCCTGCCTCTGCCTCCAGAGTGCTAGGATTAAAGATGTATGCCATCACCACCCAACTTTCAGTTTCTTCTTTTCTAGAGGTTTCTGAGCCTTCAGAAGTGTTACAGATGTCCCACTTTTTCTTTCTTTCTTCTTTTTCTTAAAGTTTTTTGAGACAGGATTCCTCTGTGTAGCTTTGGAGCCTGTCCTGGAACTAGCTCTTGTAGACCAGGCTGGTCTCGAACTCACAGACATCCTCTGCCTCTGCTTCCCAAGTGCTGGGATTAAAGGCGTGAGCCACCAACACCTGGCAATGTCCCACTTTTTTCAAAGGTGGTATTCTCTCTCTCTCTCTCTCTCTCTCTCTCTCTCTCTCTCTCTCTCTCTCTCTCTCTCCTTGTGTTTTTTTTTTTTTTTTTTTTTCTTTTTTTT